GCTCTGCAACCAATCAGAAAACAGGACTCCGATGATACAAAGCAAAATCCATCGGAATCCTGTTTTCTGATTGGTTGCAAAGCCTCGTACGACGAAAATCGGATGCAGTGTGAATCCAGCAATAGCCCTTATGAGGATGCTGGAGCTATATGCTAGATTCACACTGCATCCGATTTGCGTCATACGACGTTCTGCAACCAATCAGAAAACAGGATTCTGATAATACGAAGCAAAATCCATCGGAATCCTGTTTTCTGATTGGTTGCAGAACGTCGTATGACGCAAATCGGATGCTGTGTGAATCCAGCAATATGTATTACCGATGAAACTAGCGTTTTTGATGTATTTGCTCTTGTCTAATTTCTTCGTAGTAGTTTCATAGAATAAAAATTCCTTCTCCACGATTAAAATATTCATGTTGATGTATCTGGTGTATGTTGTGTCCAAAGCTGGAAAAATATGAATTACGGATCTCTTTATCCATTTTTATTTTCAGCGTTAGTCGCCATATTGAAATAAAATGCATTAAAAAATCTGTAATTTTATTTTTTTTCAGCTTTGAACACAAAATGCACCAAGGGCAGATACATAAATATTTCAATCGTGGAGAAGAAATTTTTATTCTGTAAAACTCTATTACGAAGAAATTAGATAGGAATAAAAACGGCAAAAACGCTAGTTTTTTTCGGTAATACAGATGGCTCCAGTATTCCCTTAAACTGGTTCTACATTAGTCGCATCGCAGCATCGTAAGAGTTGCTGTCCAATAAATATCAAGCTAGTTCGACTTTGACTGGACCGCAACGCTTGCGACGCACTTGCGATGCTGCGCTGCGATTAATGTAGAACCAGCTTTACACGCATTAAGCCGGTTCTACATTAGTTGCAAGTCAATCGTAAGTTTGTTGCGACAGCCAATCTGAAGCTTGCATTTTGAAATCAATACTTTATTGGCTATCGCAACAAACTTGCGATCAGCTTGCAACTAATGTAGAACCGGCTTTAAGCTGGTTCTACATTAATCGCAGCGCAGCGTCGCAAGTGTGTCGCAAGCGGTGCGGTCCAATCAGAGTCGAACTAGCTTGATATTTATTGGGCAGCAACGCTTGCGGTGCTGCGATGCGACTAATGTACAACCAGG